GGATCCCATGGGGGGGGCACCCTATGGGGAGGGGGATCCCGTGGGAGGGGCACACTATGGGGGGGGCACCCCAGGGAAGGGGACCCCAGGGGGATTTGTGACCCCAGGGGTGGGCACCCTATAGGAGGAGGGACACCATGGGGGTGCACCCCATAGGAAGGGGCACCCATAGGGAGGGCCACCACATGGGGATGGTCACCCCTAGGGAGGGTCACCCCTAGAGAGGGTCACCCCATGGGGATGGTCACCCATAGAAACGGGCGCCCCATGGGGATGGTCACCCTCTAGGGATGGGTCACCCATAGGGATGGTCACCCCACGGGGAAGGTCACCCATTGGGATGGGCACCCGTAGGAAGGGTCACCCCATGTGGAGTGTCACCCATAGGTAGGGTCTCCCTATAGGAATGGTCACCCTATAGGGATGGTCACCCTATAGGGACGGTCACCCATAGGGACAGTCACCCCATGGGGATGGTCACCCTATAGGGAGGGTCACCCATAGGAATGGGCACCCCATGGGGATGGTCACCCCATGGAGAGGGCCACCCGTTGAGATGGTCACCCTATAGGGAGGGTCACCCATAAGGACAGTCACCCACATGGACAGGCACCCCATGGAGAAGGACACCCATAGGGATGACCACCCTACAGGGACAGGCACCCCATGGGGACAGGCACCCATAGGGAGGGTCACCCATTGCGATGGGCGCCCAATGGGGATGGTCACCCTATAGGGATGGTCACCAATAAGGATGGTCACCCCACAGGGAAGGTCACCCATTGGGATGGGCACCCTGTAGGAACCTGCACCCCATGGGGATGGTCATGCTATAGGGAGGGTCACCCATAGGGATGGTCACCCTATGGGGAAGATCACCCACTGGGATGGGCACCCTATAGAGAGGGTCACCCACAGGGACTGTCACTCACATGGACAGGCACCCCATGGGGATGGTCACCCTATAGAGAGGGTCACCCATAGGGATGGTCACCCTATGGGGAAGATCACCCATTGAGGTGGGCACACTATAGAAGGGGTCACCCACAGGGAAGGTCACC